TGATGAGTCTGGGCTTAATTTGCTGCTCTGAGGCAGTGGCTTGCACTGGGGCAGCCCCAGCATTGTGTGCCTGTGCAGCATCGCAGAATGTGCCTACTGATGGGGTGCTGCAAGGCTGCATGCCCAAAGGCACGGCTGCGCGGTGCTAGATGAGCTCCCACTGAGTGCTGCCTTATGCCTCTCCCAGCTCCAGCAGCCACAGGGTAAAGTCCACCCCTCCCGATGCAGAGTTTTCCCCTCCACCAGCTGCAGGAGGAAACACCCACCTGGAGGTAAGGATTTGCAGTGAGATGGTGGGAAACAATGGCTTTGCCCCAGCACGGACCCAAAGCTGTGACTCCATCCTGTCCATACCTGGTGGAAGGTGACGACGAGTGCCGACCACACGAAGATGCCGGAGATGACCCGTGCTGTTGTTGTGGTCAGGAAGAGCTGCTGACCATCCTTGGAGTCGTTGTGAGCAGCTGTGAGCAGGGTGAGGGCTGAGGATGGGGTGGCGGAGGCCAGCCTGGCAGCTGTGCCCGGTCCTGGAGAGCTGGGTGCCGCAGGAGAGGGCCAAGCATGGGTGGCATTACTCATCTGTGGGAGGGAGAGGCACGGGGAGTGGCGTGGGATGGAGGTGAACTGGTGAGGGGGAAGATCCCAGCAAGTTTCCCAGCCCACAAATCTCCAGTGAGCTTTTCTCCTCCCCACGCCTTTCCCAGCGTGGCCCTCTCCCAAGCCAGCCTATTCTCCATGGTCAGGGCTGCTTCTCAGCAGGAAAATGCAAATGTTCAAGAGCAGACCCTTGTGTCTGCAAGGTGTCTCTAGTCTCCACATCCCCTAAAATAAACACTTCTTCCTCTCAGTCGCACTCCCTCTGGTTTTCTCTGGGGTCACCATCCCTTAGGAAACGAAAAGATCTGCCCACACTCTTGCTCTCAGGTATTCTCAACTGCAGCTCAGGACCTCTCCCACTGGGCACCAGAGACTTAAGCATCAATATCACCTCATTCCATGATTAAAACCATCCCCTTATCAACAAGCTGTCAGGATACTGACATCCCTATGGACAATGTGCTCACATCATTATCCTGGGAGCCCAGAGAACACCGAGGTCCTTGTGGTCCACCCCCACATTTGGCTTCTTTCTTTTTGAGTGACCTGCTAGTGGCCAGCTCCAGGGTTCATCAGAAGAAGGAGGTTTGGCATCACCCAGGGCGTTCAGCCAGGCAGCAAACCTCAGCCATCTCATGATCTCAAGGTCCTGGTGTGCCAGCCCAGGCAGCAGCGTGGGGTTTGGGGGATGCTGGAGCATCCTGCATCTCTGCAGCATCCTCGTGGGCAGCTCTGCCTTCCTCAAAGACTCTCACCCCAGCATTCCCAGCACAAAGCACTCTGCAGCTCAGCCAGCAAGGACCAAACTAATAATACACTCTTATTTATAGGGCAGCTTCATATCTCAAGGCCAACAGATGCACAGACTGCCATGTTTGGCCTCTCTTTGAGCTATCTATGGAAACCTGCTTTTTCCACACATATAACAACAGCAGTTTAAAAAAAAAAAAAAAAAAAAAAAAAAGCAGCAAGCAGAGCTCTAATAATGCAGACACTCCTCAGCACATTGTTAAAAAACAAAGATTTTAGCTGCTGGGTAACTATCACCAGAGGAAAATCTGCAAGTACAGAATGGTGAGAGGCAAGAAAATATCTGCCAGAGATGAGTGTGGTAGGGGACAACCTTGATCCCTTCAAACACAGCAAACAGCCCAAAGCCCAGCTCGCCTGGCAGCTCCCTCTCCACAAACCCCAACCTCTAGGGAAGGAAACTCAGCTGGTATCAGATCAGCACCCCTAAAAATACCTCCCCCAGACCCCTCCCGCTGTCTGTAAGTGGAGATGCCCAGTGCTGGGTGCTGCTGGTGGCCGGGTCCCAGGGTGTACCTGCAGCTGCAGTTGGGCTCTCAGGGCAGCAGGAGCTGAGGGTTTTCCTTTGTGCAGCTGTCGTCACCCTGCCCAGGCCGGCAGGAAGCAGGATCCCGGGGAGGGATCTGTTCTTTGGACAGCCCTTGTAAACATTAACAGGAGGCCAGGGAGAGCTGGCGGTATAGGCAGGAGGGAGGAAGCCGTATTGGGACCCTTCCGTGGCAAGACCCTTCCCCACAGCTTGTTTTGGGGATGCCCTAAGTCAGGTTTGGATGTTCTCACTCTCCTCAAGCTTTGTGCTAAGGAAGAGCACAATCAGGCTTGCTCCGTGGGACATGGCAGAGAGCTGTGTTCAGCTCCAGACCCATTTATTCTGCCTTCAGCCCGGCGCCGTGCCACAGATGCTTGGCCCAAGCTGTCCCAGCTCCTATTAGCTTTCACAGCCCGGCTGTGCAGCAAGCAGCTCGGCACCAGCGGCCTTCCTGGCAGGCTCTCCTGCATTGTAAAACTCTTAACGCGTCGCAGCAAGTCATTAAAAACAAAAGCCTCAGTGCCACTCAGAGACAGAGCTCCCAGCTCTCAGAGGTAACCAGATCCCGGCCGTGCAACGTAGCCGGGCAACTCAATGCAGCCAAGGGCCCATTTGCTTCCAAAACAAAGGCAGCCAGGAGGTGTGAGGGTAATTTTAGCCCCAAAACTCAGCTCGACAGGATGGCACATCCCAACAGGCAGCTCTTAGACACGGGGCAGACACCTGCTGTGCTCCGACTGCCCGCTCTGCTCAATCCCTGGATACTGGAGGTGCTCACTGAAAGCTGAGCTGAAAACCATGGACAGTGCGCTGGGTTTGGGCAGGCTGTCTGCAGGATCGCTCTGCCCAGGCCATGCTGCTGGTGAGGGGAGATGGCTGATCTGCACCCAGGGATGGGAGCGGCCAGGCTGCGTCCTGCCAGCACCAGGCACTCCTTTCCTGCTGATGGCATCCAGATAAAGCCCAGCTCGGGGCTGTTTACGAGCAGCCTCTCTATACCACCCCCACACCACCAGGAGGAAGCACCTATAGCACACATAACCAAGGCAGAGCAGCACCCAGCCCTCTGTCAAGCCCATACCACGGGCTCTACCCCACCACCACAGGTGCACGGGGCCAACCTCCACCCTGCCGGCCATCGTGCCCCGATCTCGAGGCCCCACTCACCCTGCGGGGCTCCTCCACTTGCAGGCCGTGGCTGCGTCCCGCCGTGCACCTGCTTCTGCATCCCCTGCGCCCTCCTCCAGCACAGACTCCTCCTCCAGGCACCTTCCCAGCAGGACACCGCCAGCCCTCCCTCGCTGCACCCCAAGGGGCTCGGCACCGGCCCTCTGTGCCCTCCCCATAGCAGCTGGGGCGGCAGGTAGGGCTTTACATCCTGCAGAAAAGCTGCCGAACGTACCTTTCCAGTCTGCCCCGTTTAGCACTCACGCCCGGAAAGCAAACAAGGCTGAAAGGCTCCGGAGCTGCTGCCCTGCGTTTGTGGTGAGCGCTGCCTGGGTGGCAAAAGCAGTTCTTGTTGCGATTGAGAATTAATTCCTCCTGGAGGATAGCGATGACTAAAAGGCAGACATCTGGTTGTACAAGCAGCCAGGCTGGGGAGGCTGTTTTTTGGGACAGGCCTTCCCTTGATTTACTGCAGAACAGAGCAAACCTGAAGGACCAGCTGCTCGTGGTCTGACTTATCGCCTGCAGAGAGGCAGCCAGATGAGACGCTGTGGCTCTGAGCATCAAACGGAAGAGAGTGCCACGTCCTTTCTTTGCTCACCGCTGCGTGCAGACCTGGTTGCAAAAAGAACAAGGAAAGCATGGTAGTAAACCAGGGTCAGCTTTCAGGTGTTAACGCATGAGGTTTTCAGGGCACAGAAGCAGTGAGGCAGCGTATCACCACAGTGGAAGATGGCCAATTCAATGTAAACCGCAACTCATATATGGTTTATAAACTCACTGGAGCTAAAAGGGCATCATAGGAGCAGCAGGGGTCAGGAAACAGACTGCATTTTGGATGGGGAAGAGATCTCCACTAGCAAAGATCAACGTTAACAAACTCCACATGGCTCTGTGAGCCCTCCTAGGCTGAAAAGAAAAAAAGAAAAAAAAAAAAAGAAGAAATGTAAAAGAGGGAAAATTTGGAGTTCTGACAGATGCAAATTTTTGATTCTTGGAAGCACAGTTTGGAAAATTATTTTTAGATGAAATTTCTGTCAAGGGCAGCTGCAAGCCTGCAGTTTTTGAATGTACTCTTAAAAAAATGTTTCATTTCTCATTATCCTTTAAAATGCTGTAAAAAACATTACTTCAGAGGAAAAAGTCCTTTCGAAATGTATTTTCTGCTTTTGTACTTTTATGGGATTTTTTTTTAGCAACAGTAATGATCCAGCAATAGGATCTGCATGGGGAATGGACAGGCTCTGTGCTGATTCTGCTGACACTGATGGGTACCAGCACAGCACAGGTCTTTTCTGCCCTGAATCTGAAGGCAAGACCTGGCCTTGGTCTGCTCAGTCAAGTTCCTAAGTGACAAAAGTGTGCAACAGCTTACTTTAAAACTGACTACTTGGTGCTACCTGCTCCAAGAAGAGGAAAAAACAAACGTGCTTTCCGAGCAAACAGCACAAGTTGGGCTGTTCAGCACTGCGTTAACTCATCTGACCTCGCATAAGAGCACTTTCTTTTAATGGACTCAGCCAACACCCCACTGTGTAACCTCCAAAGCCCTTCTGTCCCCATGTCTGCTCTGACAGTGCTTCAGGAGAAGGGCAGCTTGTTGCAGGTGGCCCAGAGCAGTGCACATGCTGTCCCTCTGAAGTGCTACTACCACACATCATACGGAAACAACCGATATTTTGCCTTTTTCTCATTAATTTGGGTTCCTTTCTGCCATCCTGTCATCAGTTTTCATGAAATTGGAACACTGCAATCATCTACCTCTCTTCAAAACGCGGCTGAAAATGAAGAGCAGATTCAGCATACATCAGGAGGAAAACGACATAAGGATACAAGTAGTCATATAGAAGTAATTCCCTTAAAAAAAAAAAAAAGAAAAGCAGGCAAGAAAAAAATCTTTCCTATTATGCAATTGCTGTTTATTTGTTAAGGAGGCTTGTATTTCAATTGAAGTGATTTTTGCAGAGCGAAAAAAACAACCAACCAACCATGTAAAATTAGATTCATCAATGTTTCTTTTACTCACTCTGCACTGGGTGTTCCCCTTTGCGGTGCAGTGTAGCTACAGAGCTTGGCATCCATCACTCCTCGGGCACAAATGCAGAGCTGTGACGTTTCCCAAATATACACCCCTCCCCAGGTGAAAATATAACATTTCTCTTGTCTATTGAGGCAATTGTTCTCATCTCATCACCAACTATCTGGACTGCAAACCTGTCACAGGAAGAAAACCCACAACCATTCTACACAGTAGAGAAAAATTCATCACATTCCTAAGCGTGTCCAAAACCAGCACAAAGACATTCCATCATTTTCATTTCTTGTCCTCTCAAAGAAGTGGTGATGAGTCATGGACTCCAGATCATTTCCTTGAATCCAGATGGTACAACTTCACCACACTTGGCAACTTCGGATCACTTCCCGTAGAGCTTGTATTCCTTCCATGGTCTTGTCCTTCAAAGCCATAGCGAGAAGAACAGGTTTGTTCCCAGCTTCTTGAGACACGAATGCCACCAGGTTCTTGGCACAAACATGGACGAGGGGCTGAAAAGCAAAGGTAAACAGAGGTACACTCGCAGCTGCAAAGTCATCCTGCATGAGTTAGCAGAGGAAGAGCCCTGCAATGACTTGCTCGTGGAGCACGTCGAGAACCTGCCTGTGCTGGATGCTGAGCATTAGTTTGCTGAGCAGTTCCAGGGTGATTGGAAACAGACAAACAGCTTGGCTGGCCAGCATAGCCAAGCCGTGGTATGGGATAATTGAGAAGGCACTTTCTCAACAGACTTAAAATAGAAGAGTTTAGACCTGCGAGCGGCTGCCCAACAGCCCATCCTGGAACAACTGAACTGCAGCTGCACTGGAGTTCTGCACTGCCTTAGAGTGTTTGGGAAGCTGCTGTTGAGAGCCCTGCTGCAATTCTTCCCACAGCACCAAATACAAACTTATATAAAATGATCAGAATGCCTCTATTCCCATCATAACCAGATTCCTGAGTACCATATTCTTGTTGCTGACCAGACCATGCTCTGCTGACAAACTCTGGAAGTAAGCTGTCTTGTTTTCCTAAGTCTTAGAGACCTCAAACTGGCATTACACACAGCCTTTGCACATGTAAAAAATGTTTCTGATTTTAACAGAATAATAAAAACCAGAAATAAATGGTGAGGCCGAAGCAGGGAAGAGAAGGAATATCGTCTCCTTAGTGAGACTTCTTTAAGAAGAATATCCAACTTGCCTTTACTGACACCTCTACTTACGCATTTAGAAGGCTGAGCTAGCTTGACTTTAGCTGCCAGCATAGCTTGGAAGTATGTATGGTCTCAAATGTTCATAGCAACAAGTCAGCAAATTAAAGCCTTCTTAAAGTTAATTGATTAAGTTGGTCACATGATTTAAAAACATGGTGTAAAAAAGGCACTTCCTATCTCCAAAATAAAACAGAAATGGCTCAGAGGTGCCATGCTCAGAATTAGCAGCCATGTCAACCAGGCAAAGCAAAGCTTCCCCCACCCAGGGAAAGCAGACTTGTTGAGGAAGGAGAACTGCATGGAGGGGCACAGAAAGGAGAACCTACGTGTTGTTACAGCTTTTCTAGTTAAGGTGAGCAAGTAGCATCTGACAGCCCAACCCTGATGGAAAGCCTCATAAACTTGTAGCTCTGTAACTTTTTGCTTTAATGCCTGACCAGCTGACACTTTGCAAAACACGTTTCCTTCTGCTTTCTCTCCAGCTCTGTGAAACCAGTCGATAAAAACTCATTTTGTTGGAGAAAAACAAATTAAACTTTATCGAGGGCAGGTGTTGGCAGGTGCACAGAGAGGGCATCTAAAGTCCATTATGGGGCTGGCAGAGATGGAGGCTGGGGGGAGGAAAAAAAAGCGACTCCAGAAGGAGAAATCGTTGGAACAGAAGGCCAGGAAAGCTTATCAGAGGCTGTATGTTTGATCCCGCAACCTTTAAAGCAACACGAGCTGTATCAAACCTTCCATAAACACAGCAAGGCAACCCACACCCTGCACGGCACCAAGCACCGGCCCCACAAAGCTGCCGGAGAACAGATGAACGTGCCTGTTTTTCAAAGGAGCCCCTCTTCCTCCAGACCAGATTTTTACACCCCTTTGACCGCCGTGCAAACACCGCTTAACGGCTGTGATTCATCAGCTCCCTGGCAACTCGCACGGCCCCACCTACAGCATTTCCCCTTCGCTCGGCGCCGGGGCGCTGCGCATCTGCTCCTACCTCATCCTTGCCCAGCAGCACTTTGGTGCTGAGCGAAGGCCTGCCAACGTTGTCCCCTATGGTATCGGGGTTCACGTAGACGAGCGTGCCCATCTTGCCGTACTGCGTGACCACCACGAGGATGGAGTTGGAGAACGCGGTGCAAACCACCTCGGTGCGGACCCCGCGGACCGCTTCCTCCCGCCGCTTAGACGTCACGATGGGACTGGCTGCCATCGCTGCGGGAAGCAATCAGACCACATCAGATGAAATGCGCGGAACGCGGCCATCCAAAGCCCACAACCTTTCGTTCATTGGCTTGGCTTCGTTACCGCGGTTGAATTCCGGAGCGTAAAAGCACCCAGAGGTGCGGGGGAACCAATGCCCCCACGCGGACACCGCCGCACAACGCCCGCAGCCCGCCATCCCCTCCCCGTACCCCGGACGGAGCTGAGGCCCCACGCCGCCACCCGGCCCGCCCCGGCGGAAGAGCGGCCGCCCCTCCTCCCATCCCACCATCCTGCGCGGGCAGATGGCGCTGGGCCGCCATGTTGGGGAGGGGCCGCCATGTTGGGGAGGGGCCGCCCGCAGCCCCGCGGTCCCCCTGCCCGTGTGGGCAGTGCTGCGCTGCGGGCGGAGCTCCGTGCCTCTCGCTCGTGTTCCGAAGCAAAGCGTGTGTGTTGCGGCCCTCGTGTGCTGCCGTGGGAGATGAGCAGAGTGCGTGAACCTCGTGCGCAGCGGGGAGTCACGCAGGTGCTGATTTCTGCTCCATCCGTACTTTATTTGGGTGCTTGTAACGCTCTTCTGCGTCCCTCCAAAGCAGTTACACAAAGCTCTCCAAGCTGAGGTTTCTCGGAGGTTTGCAGCTGTGTGGACTCGTGCACGTGCTGTGGGTGACGCCTCCAAAACACAACCCTTCCTTTCCACGCATTCGCTGTTACCATTCCTTCCAAAACACCACAGGAAAAGCACCGAACTCTGCCTTGCCTCTAAAAGCAGTCACTCCTTTTTGGTTCTCTTTACAACCTATAGCTTCCAGGCGGAGCACGTAGGCTCTGCGCTGAGTGTGCTCGGAAGCACCATCAGAGAGCAGCAGAGCTCCACAGAAATCCCTTCCACCGGCTCGGGCGGTGGTTGATGCAGGCGGAGAGGCTCGGTGCCTTTCGGCGCTGTGGCCGCGGTCTGTTTTGCAGCACTGCGAACAGTCAGCGCCGCTCTCTTGCTGAGCGGCATCACTCGAAGCTTTGCCTGTTGGACAGAGATGATAGCAGCTCCTGTCAGCGAAGCCTCCTGGCTCGTGGAGGAGTGCATTCCTGTCCTGCCTTCTCCGGAGGAAGATTTTACTTCAGGAAACAGAGCACTGGATTCTTCCTGCCATCCTTTCCAGCCTCTGTTTTATTTTTTACGTGATGAGAGGACAGAGACTCCGCTCCAGTTCAGATTTCCGTGGAAACAGCCCTGTCCCTTACACTTCACTGATTCCCATTAGTTTGGGAGCAAAGAGTTATTTCAGTTGATTGGAAACCATTTTGGCATGGATCGGAGGCAGGATATAGAGCAAACACGTGAAGCTGGCAGCAGGAGGGAGCCGAGCCCTAAATTTTCATCACCAAAAATAAACACGCTCGAAAAATAGAGATGGCTGTGAAGGAGAAGGCCCCTATTGCGCATCTGACCTGGGCAGGGTGCGGAGGTTTGAATGGGCAGGATGTGGGACCTGCACCATGGGTCAGCCTGCGCTTCCCACCCTGCTCTGCCTCAGAAGGACATATGTCTGTGCTTGCACTCTGCCTATCTAGAGAGCTTTTCATCCAATGATCCCTAATCACATTGCAAACATTATTACATTTAGCTTCATCAACTCTCTTTTGACATAAGAGGTTATTAATACACCCCATTTTACGGTCCGAGGGCAATAAAGAATGAAGGCAGACAGCAGTTCAGAAGCCATCGCATCCTTGGCTGCAAGGCACCAGATCTCTTCTTCCATTCCCATGCACTTACAGCTGAGGAAACATTAAGTCGTGCGTGTCACTATCTCAATTACTTGCAAAAATCAATGACTATGCAGCCCAATGCTTTGACAAGAAAAACTACCCATAATATTGCAGTTTTAAACCTTTATTATTATTTATTCAAGCAGTTTCTTACCACTCTTTTGTTTTTTTAAATGCTTAAGTGCCTCTGTGTAGTCTGCTTTTTTATAATGATCTCTGCATCTATCTGAAGTGATTTTATAGAGCTAATGCATGAGATCTGCAGAGCATTAGAAATCTTTCCCACTTCTCTTGAAAACTAGACACGGTGTTTCAGGACATCCATTAATAATCCCTGCTCTTGGGAACACCTCGCTATCAAAGTGCTGGGTTGCTTTATTAGTTTACAGGTTATTACTTCTCTAGTTTAGATTTCTCTCTTGTATCTTTTATGATGCAGAATATAGACTGTGAGCTGGAACCTGAGGTGCAGCCAGGCTCCGGTCTGCGCATCCAAGGAGAGAAGAAAGAAATTAGTTTGCTCCCCAATGCAGCAGCTGCTTGGGAATTCTTCTGACTCTCGTTATAAATCAGCTGCATGAAGCAGAGCTGCTGCTAAGGACACTCCTCTGGCCAGCCAATATGCCTGTGCTCCTTTTCCCTGTGTCAGCATCACAGCAAGTTTGGGAGCATGTGTGTGGTGTGGGGTTAGCGTGCCTTCGTGTCAGTGCTCCCATGGACAACAAATAGCATCATTTCTTCTTCCAACAGAGCACTCTAGGAGATTTGCTAGTTTGTAAGTTGTATACACAGCTCTCATTGTGTGGGACATGCTCTATTTTGCTTGTGGCATGGAAGGCTAAGCCAATCCATCAGGCACTGCAGAACCTCTTTGAGCTGTTTACCTGTTGAGTACACTTTTTCATTTCCAGTGCAGAATTCAACCTGGAACAAAAACAAAAACAAAAACAAAACAAAAAACATAAACAACAAAAAAACCACAGTCTTCTAACAAATAAAAACCTAAAACTGAAAAACAAGTGATGCAGTTTTTGTGTGGTCTGTAGACTGCAGTCAGCTGCACATCTGAGGTGCTGGATGTGGCTGCAAGCTGTTGGGTCACCCTGTTGTCTTGTTTTCTTGCATTTGCAACTTAGTGAGGAAACAATATGGGAATGTTCATTGGTGTGTGTATAAATAGTGAGTACTCACATAGGAGTATTAGCCTATTTGCCTGCAAAAACTCAGTGTGCAGAGTAGGATTTAAAAACATGTCAGTAAGCCAACACACTCTGGCTGGGCTTGGAAGCACCCAGGTAGCAATGCGACTAAAGTTCATGCTTTTTTATTGCTTTTTTTTTTCCCCTTTTAGATTTAGCAAGCTATAAATGGTCCTTACAGGACTTAGCCATGCTGCCTCATTTGTGTTTTCTGAGCTGCTGTGCAGACAGGAGGAGGAGGATTTGAGGTCCAGGAGATTGGGGTGAGCAGTGGGCCCCAGTGCAATGGTGCTGGGGGAGAGCTTCAGAAAGGGGCTCCTTGTGAGGCTGCAGAACCTGGCATAAGTCAGATAAGTTGCACTTAGAGAAGAACTTGGAACAGCAGTAGATTTCATGTACTTGGTGCATGAAAATCAATGTGTCCTACATTTCTCTGCAAAATTTATCCAGAGGTGACTTTAGCACCTACTGAAATGATAATGGCATTCTTGAAACGTCCGGAATAGCTCCAGTCTACCTACAGGAGCTTCAGACTGCCTGAAAGACTCTGCGTTACGTCACACAGACAACCTGATGCTGTGTAACAACAATCTTACCCTCAGTATTTGTCATGAGATAGCAGCTGCCCAAACGGGGTGCTGTAATCAGGGGGGTTATGGAGCAGATCACGTCATCGTCATGCAAGACTGAGTACCACTGACACCATTTTTGTTTGTCGTATAACAGCCCTGCATTGATGGTGACCATGACCACATCTGTGGATGGTATCATCCATCAACAGTCCCACCCTGTGAGCAGCAGAAGTTTTGCGTTGCTGGAATGGCTGAAGAAATTATTTCCACGCATCAGTAAGAGCAGCAGTAATTGCCATAAAGCCCACAGTGGTTGATGCAGGAGTTTTTTGGTTGCTCGTGGTGGTCTGTCAGATGAAAGACAAATAATGGATCATAAAAGCAATAGTAGCGTCGCTTCAAAGAACAAAACTCAGAGCACTCTTTGTTCTTAAGAAGGGTGAAAACGCAGGAAATAACAGCGTTTCTTTTGCAGGAACAAGAAGAGAATACCAGAGTGTGGTTATAACACTAATAGTATCATCACTTGTATAAATCACTTAATTGTGACAGCAAATTAAATACTGCTGTTGTCTAGAAATCAGCCATAGTTAAAATGATGTGTCTTGATGAGGCAAATGCTTTGTGCTCTGCCAGTAGTACATTAGCTCCTCTTTCAAGTGAGAAAACAATTAAAAACTTGGTTGAAAAGGGCGTATTTTCTCTGTGGCCACTGATCCCTCAAATTCTGGACAAAATAAAGCGTTTGTAATAGCTGTTCATTACCACAGAGTTGAAGGAGGAAAAATCTGTTTTCTCATTATGCTCAGGAAAGTTATGAAATTGTTCTGGGAATATTTGTGAGTGTAAGAGGCACATAACCAAATGGTTTCAACTTTGACAATGCATCATCGTTTGCAGCTCATAATGCTGCTGTTAACTTTGGGAGTTATCTGTCAGTGCGCAGAGTGGAAAATGAGAATAAATATTTACTTTTAGTTCTAAATAGCAGAATAGTGTGAGGCAGACAGGTCTGATTTGATTTTGAGGGTTGTGTAATGAAAGCTTAAGCATTATGGGAGGCATCAGTTTGGCAGAACTTAGATGGAAACACTGAGGCATCTCCCAGTGAAGTGGGTGGCTTTGAGCCTCGGTCATGCAAACGTGATTCTGAGCATTGGGAATTCCTCTGGATGTTGGCTGAAGAATGGCTGCACCTCATTTATAAGTTCTTCACACGTTTTGAACACAGAGATGGTGGAAATGCCTGCTGTCGGGATGCTTCCTCTTTCATAGTGCATTCGTTTTTGTTATCTAGTCAAAACTACAAGGCTTAGCACACAAAACATAAATGCCAATCGACATTACGAATGCTGATAGAGAAAGGAGAACACACTTTTTGGTCATAAATGTCAGAGCTTCATGAAGGCACACCGTGGCAAGGCAAAAGAATGAAGGTAGACACCCTCCAGTGGGCTGTGTAAGCTCTTGGATCCCAGTCTTCTACCAACAACAACTTGATTCACTCTCTGGAATAGAGATTTTAAGGATCTGGAAGCCATCCTGAAGGACTGTCAGAAGACTGGATCTACGAGGAATATTGGGAATAAAGAATCTGTGAGATATAAACGTATAAACGCTGCACTGGTTCGCATTTAGGAATACCTCAGATCC